AATGGCTTACAACCAGATGTCAGGGACGCTCCCACCAGATATCGGCAGTACTCTACCCAATCTTCACTTTCTCGACATGGCCAGCAACCGGTTCGTGGGACAAATTCCGTTGTCAGTCGCTAATGCTACGTTGCTTCGACAAATCGACCTCAGCCGCAACAATTTCAGCGGTCGAATACCTGCCAATCTCGGCAACCTTCCATATCTCATGCAGCTTTCCCTAGGGAGAAACAGGCTTGAAGCCAGAGACGCCTTGGACTGGGAATTCGTCTCTTCCTTGGCCAACTGCAGTCTGCTGAAGGAACTAAGACTGGCTATGAATAATCTGAGCGGTGCGCTTCCTGCCTCCATAGCTAATCTCTCGACCCAGCTCAATACTATAACGCTCGGTCGAAACCAAATCTCTGGATCCTTTCCTTCCGGGATCAAGAACTTCGTTAACTTGGTTACACTGGCTATGAATGAGAATCTATTCACCGGCAGTATTCCCGACTTCCTGGGAGAACTTGCCGACCTGGGATCTTTGATCTTGTATGGCAACAAGTTTTCAGGCAACATCCCAGCCTCGCTTGGCAACTTGACTGCATTGAATGAGCTTATATTGTTCGATAACTACTTGGAAGGCAGCATCCCGGTGAGTCTTGGGAAATGCCAGGGTTTGAATACTTTAGATCTCGCTGGCAATCACCTGAGTGGATCCATCCCAATGGAAGTTTTTAGCATCGAATCCTTGTCGAACTATCTTGACTTGTCCAGCAATCACTTGAATGGAACACTACCGATGGAGGTCGGCAGGTTGCGCAACACTCCCTTTTTATCTGTTTCCAACAACAGGCTTTCAGGTGAACTTCCAACAAGCTTAGGTGATTGTCAAGTGCTGCAGTACCTCAATTTGAGTAACAATTTCTTTCAAGGAAGCGTTCCTAAATCTCTGAGCAACCTGAAGGGACTCGAGAAGTTGGACCTTTCATCCAATGACTTGTCTGGTTCCTTCCCAGATTTTCTAGCAGGCTTGCCTTTCCTGAAACTTCTGAATCTATCTTTCAATGATCTGGATGGTGAAGTACCAGTAGATAAAATTTTCAGCAATTCCAGCGAGTTTTCTGTCGTCGGAAACCACAAACTCTGTGGGGGTATCTCAAGCTTGCATTTGCCTTCCTGCTCAACTCAGACATCCAAGAAGAACAGGTCGCTTATTCTTAAAGTAACGTTGCCGATTGTTGTTCTAATCTTACTGTTTGCTCTGTTTATGACCTGCCGTTACGCGAGAAAACACAAGAAGAATTCTCCCCCAGCTGAACTCACATCCGATGCTCCGACAAAATTGTCTTATCTCGAGCTGATGAAGGCAACCGATGACTTCTCCTCCGAGAATTTGATTGGCGTTGGAAGCTACGGTTCGGTGTACAGAGGTGTTTTGGGTGACGGCAAAACTCTCGTTGCGATCAAGGTACTCAACCTGGTGCAGCGAGGCGCTTTCAAGGCTTTCGTCGCAGAGTGTGAAGCTTTAAGAAGCATTCGACACCGAAACCTGGTCAAGATCTTGACAACCTGCTCGAGTGTGGATCTCAGAGGTAATGAATTCAGAGCTATCGTGTTTGAGTTCATGCCTAACGGGAGCTTGGAGAGTTGGTTGCATCCAGACACAGACAAGAAGCTATACTCGAAGCGATTAGGTCTGCTTCAGAGACTTGATATAGCAATCGATGTTGCTGCTGCGCTGAACTATCTTCATGACCACTGCGAGACGCCAATCATCCACTGTGATCTGAAGCCAAGCAATGTCCTTCTTGATGGCAACATGACTGCTCGTGTCGGAGATTTTGGCCTAGCAAGATTCCTCTCCAATGGCACCAACCGGTATCTATCTTCTTCTTCAGTAATAAAAGGTTCCATCGGCTATATGGCTCCAGGTAAACCTTTGAATTAGAAGCTTTTCTCCAAAGTGTGCAGTCTTCTCATTCATCTGCACGGGACATATAAGAATATATGGTTTAATCGTGTGAATTAAACGCAGAATATGGGATGGGCGGGCAGGTTTCGACTCATGCGGATGTCTACAGCTACGGAGTGCTGCTGCTGGAGCTGTTCACCGGGCGGAGGCCTACCGACGACATGTTTAAGGACGGTCTCACCCTCCAAAACCACGTCGAGGAAGCCTTTTCGAAAGGAGCTCAAGTCACCGGCATCGCTGATCCGTCACTATTCTCGGACGACAAAGAAGGTGAAGACACTTCAGATCTCATGGTCGGAATGCAAGCAAGCGAAAGGATAACGAGATGCTTAGAATCGGTGCTCGTGGTTGGTCTCCGCTGTGCCAAGGACTCGCCGAGAGAGCGCATCACGATCAAGGATGCTGCGAACAGAATAGAGACGATCAAGAGTCTGCTGCGAACTGCCGAAATGAATAAGAGTCCATTTAATACTCCGTGTTTAATATAGTTTTCGTAAAAGAATGGGCTGTTCTGTTTCCTCCATGACTCGGTTCCCCTTGTCATCCCTGCAATCCAAGTGATACCAGAGATGGTTCGCCTTGCATGCCCACTTAGTTTCGTTCAGGAACCGCACCCTCGAGACGGAGATGGTGTTTCCTGTCCCTAAGGGTACGCGTGACAGACAGTGCAACTCTCACGTGGGACCCACCACCACTGTGACATAGTATTCTCCTTCTCGTCCGACATAGTAGATCCGTATAATACATCTTGTCCTCTCCCTCACACTTCTACCAAAAGTTATCTCCTGACGAGGCTCGTGTCCTTGTCGATGGACCCCACTTTCTTGAGCGAGCCACTTGGCAGAAGAAATGGTTTTGGGCCGACATCTCCGGTTGAAGATTCTCGCTCGCCCTTGCCGAAGAGCAAGAGACGAAGTAACCCCTTAGGGCACAGCCTGGGAATCTGCGTGGCGGTTCCGCAGGAGGAACGGGAGGAGCGAGAAGGGGGGGTGGAGGAGAAAGGGCTAGTCCATGGCGGCGAGCCTGTGGCGGTCGGTGTTCGGGGGATCGACCTCCGCGGCGGAGGATGAGGGAGGCGTAGCGTTCTGGTCGAACCCGGAGCGGGCGGGGTGGCTGACAAAGCAGGGGGAGTACATCAAGACGTGGCGCCGCCGGTGGTTCGTGCTGAAGCAGGGGAAGCTCTTCTGGTTCAAGGACTCCCACGTCACCCGCGCCTCCGCCCCTCGCGGCGTCATCCCCGTCGCCTCCTGCCTCACCGTCAAGGGCGCCGAGGACGTCCTCAACCGACCCTTCGCCTTCGAGATCTCCACCCGGGCCGAGACCATGTACTTCATCGCCGACACTGAGAAGGAGAAAGAGGAGTGGATCAACTCCATCGGCCGCTCCATCGTCCAGCACTCCCGGTCCCTGGCCGACGCCGAGGTCGTCGACTACGAATCCACCAAGAGGACCGCCAAGGCTCCCGACGGCGATCAAATCTGATAAATTGACGGCGACGACAATCCTCGCAGGTGAGCGTTCTCCTACATCTGGCCATGGAAAATGTATAGATCTAGGGTTTTGTCCACTTCCCCCGGTTTGTTAATCTCGCTGTATGTTACAATAAATTTTGGATCCTTGTTGTTCTTGCTCATTGACAGGTGATGAGTTCACTATTTGATGGGTGAGCTAAGTATGTGTTGCCAGTACCTTGTCTTCTTGATCTGGATCTATTTCTTGTTTCATATCCTTCCTGTCTGTTAAACCTGCGCTACTGGTTCAATAAATCTAATCTACGCAAGATTAATGGTTCAATTGGTAGATAATTTAACTTCTTGTCAAAGATTTTGTAGGTAATAGACGTAGAATGCTTTTCTTTATCTCCATTCTTTTCTTTATCTTCTTGATTTCATACTTGATGTGGTCTGTTGTTTGTGTCCTCTACCATTTTCTACTGCTGATTATGGTTTATATTACTGATGAATCCACGGTTTGTGTTCTTTACTGTTGATCTTCTGACTGGCAGAAGTAATAAGTTTGATCACTTTTCTTTGATGTGCTAAATTATCTACCTGAAGAATTTGCTTTGGTTGTTATTTAGAGTAAACCAATGAATGTTGCAGTGCTTATCATTTGTCTTGGAAACATTAGTCATTCAGTCTCTATCAATGAGATCATGCAAGGGGATTTTGCAATTCAACACAGAACTTCATTACTGTTAGGACAAAGAAAATACTCTTTGCACATATGTCAATTCTATGGATGTTAGATGAACAAGATATATCTCATCCTTGTATAATATTATGTCTTATGCAATACAGAATCAAGTTGCCTTGACCATAACAAGGCACATCAGTGCCTTTTTAATCTGATAGAGTTCATACTTGGAAAGTACTTCTTTCTGATTCCTTGAGAGAGTGTGTTTCATGTTTGATATGCTTATTAATAGTGTCTATGTTTCTGAACTATGTTTTCTGACCTTTATTAGTTATTAGGATTCCAATTTGCATCTACTGGATGTAGTTGCAGAAATCACTAAACTTGTGTTTTCTGCCTTTGACAGATTAGGTTTGTACAAAATGGCATTGTCAGGCACCTTTAAATAAATGAGTTATTTTGGAAAAAAAAATATAGGCTACAGAAGAGAATGCTCTTACGGTTTTCTAGTTGGAAACTTGGCATCCTTGTTCATGCATTTTTCTATTATTCTTTTACTTTCAACACTTCTTGCTTCTGAAATTTGTACTTTCCGACAAATACCTAGTTATGTATTATCTTCAGGCACATTAAAATTGAAGCTGCCTGATGAGTTGATGAGACTGTTAAGTAGATGGATAACAACATTTCTGTAAAACTGGAAGGTTCACCAATCAGCCGATCCGTATGGATCAACCGAGACCAAACTGATCTTCCCTGATTGGTCAGCTTTAGGTCGCCAGCAGAATTGGTTGGGATCGTTTGCCATGAACTTATGTCTAGTCAATTGAATCCATCTGAGTTTGCCTGATTTCTATATATTGACTGTTGGGAAAAGCAAAACTATGAGAAAAAGGATAAATGAGGGGGAAGGGAAAATTCATCAGGCAACAATGGCAAGAAAACTGGTTATGTCACTCTTTGCCTGATTTTTTTAGTTCATGTGGTCTCACTCTTTGTGGTATTGTTCTATGCAAAACCAGTTATGCCTTTAGCGAAGATCTAGAGATAGTTAATTTGTGAATTAGTATTACTTAGTGATTCAACAATGACAAAAGTTCTTGTTTTCTTGTTCAACTTGTGCTTAGAAAAAGCCAGGACTAATTGTTTGTGTTGGCTTTGAAGGCTCTTAGTAATTGCATGTACACATGCATGTTCATGGATATTTGTGAATTCTATTTTAGCAGACAAAGTGCTCATCCTGTTCTTCTCATTATGATCCTATTTCTGCTTCTTTTAGTGATGTTTACTGTAGCAGATGGCAATCTTCATCCTCCTTTAGGTAAACACTTTATATAGTAAGGTGTACTTGGTGCTCGGATGCATTATCAATTCATGTCTTTGCTACTAACCTCACTAACAACATAATATCTTTTGACGCCTGCAAACATATGTCCTGCTATTATTTTCTCTCTGCTGACACGTCTTCCAAATTTCTTGTTCCTTTTATACAACGAAACCCAAATCTAAGAAGAACCAATGGTATCATTCCAAGTCTTGCTGCGAGATGTTACAGGAACTTGTGGCTGCGACCTAAAGTCTTGGTGTGTGCTATGTCAGGATCTCAGTGACTCAGATACACGTCTTGGTGGCTTTTGTCATCGAACTCTGTGATAATGATTCTTATATATATATATATATATATATATGCTTGGTGGATGGTTTTAAAGTTTCATTCATTATTATCACTTTAATAACATCATCGTATAGTCACATTCTTAGTTGAAATTGTCTAAGTTATCATTGTTGCAATGTCATAAACTTAGTTGAAATTTCTTAATTCAGGTACTCTGAAATTTCTTAATTCAGGTACTCTTGCATTTATGATGTTTGTCTAAGTTATCATTGTTGTTGCAATGTCATAAACTTAGTTGAAATTTCTTAATTCAGGTACTCTTGCATTTATGATGTGGATTTAATTAAAACAGTTTAAGTCGTGGGGTATTTTTACATTATTCGTCCATTAAATATCAACATAGTTATAAGCTTAGGTCCTAAAGGATCTTTTAAAGAATAAATTGATTAGTTAAAAGGCAAGTAGCGGATAAATCTCAACGTTTCATAAAGAGAATAATTTTACAAGAAAGAGAATAATTTTACAAGCAATTTAATAAACATTTAGAGAAAAAAATAAAAAATAAAAACTTTTGAAGGTAAATAAATAATTGTAAGTTTGTAAATAATTGCTCATCGAGTGTTATTGAAAATTATCATAGACTTAATTGGTAGTCCTCAGCTGTTATACTGTTAGCCCATAAACCTGCATAATTGTCATGGGCTTAAGTTGCAATGAAATGGAAAATCTAGAGTGTGAGGACATATATTGATCAAGAAGAAGCCAGCTTTCAAACCAGAAGCCCTAAATTGAGTGACAACAAAGTGCATAGATCTCATGGGAAAAAAAGAAAAAAAAATTAAATTAAAAGAACTATAAATAATAATAAAAATTATTTTATTATTCCTAAAAGATTATAAATAATAAGAGATTGTCAATAGTAAAAAATAAATTTTAAATAATAAACTCTTTGGGAAAAAGTAAAAAAGAGGATGCTTTAAAAAATAATAATAATAAATTTCTGTTGTTGCTAAATTGCTCAACGATTATTATTCTGTTGTGCATGAGATCAGTTAACGGAAGACGACAACGACGACGGGGACCGCTGGTGGGGCCAACGCGAGTTTAATTTCCGATATGGCATCGGCTATTCCAATGACAAGGCAGGTATGGCAGTCACGTGTCGGAGAAGCATCGCCTCTCCCGAGTTAATCTGGTGGAGCGGCGGTCTCGTGATCGAGTATGAAAAGGCCGGGCGTTTGAAAGTGTCCACGTGGCGCTCAAAAACGTGTCCTTGACGAAATGGCCGGCACGGACGAAGTAAAAGAGAATATACAATTAATAAAATACGAATTATATGTTTTACGAATTCATATCATCATATCGATGTTGGTCAGACCAATGTGCATCTTTCCATGTAGTATATATATTTCGAATGGAGACAATGGGGAGGACCATTTTGTAAAATACACGAACGTTGAGGGCCTGTTCATGTAATTTACGCAGGGAGATTAAATGTGCCGCCTCCCCCGAGTTTGGAAAAGGCACCGTTAGCTTTCCTTATCGGCCATCCGACGACGGCGACGCTAAGCAAGCAACCGCCTGTGTGTTTGAGTCACTCTTGCCCTCTCTCCTCCTCCTCTCGTTGCTTCGCTCCCATTTCGCAGATCCGAACGCCTCCGAAGTCGCCTGCCGTCCTCTTGCTGAGGAAACCCCAAATCCGACGGCGATCACCGTTGCACGGGCGCAGACGTGAGTTACGTTTTCGCGCTGCCTCTCTTTTTCTGCTCTTCTTTTCGCATCCTTCCGTTGCTCCGTCGCCATTCCGCCCGTTTCCTAGCTCGGTGGCGCGATCTGCCCCCTTCTCCTTTCACTCACATCGATGGAGCTTCGATGGAGAGAGTAGTTCGGAAAAGCTGGGGCCTCGGAGTGGGGTGTAGGGACTCGAGATTTGGCTTGGGGAGAGGTTTGGTGGCAGAGAAACATGAATCGGAGCCTTAGGGCAGCGGTGGCGCCGTCTCCCGGGCGGACTATGACAAAACAGGCGGACGAGGAGCTCGCCCTATTTCTCGAGATGCGGAAGCTGGAGAAGGAGCAAAACAACCTTCTTCTTCACAGCACCGCTGAACTCGATCCCCCGTTGGGTAATTTTTGACCCTTGTTCTCTGCTCTCTCTCTCCGATTCAGGCGTTCCTTGCTTCAAAAAAGGTACCTCTTTTCTTTACGTTGCTCTTGTTATTTGTGGTCGGTAGGGTCTAAACCTGGGACCGCTCCTATATTCAAGATCGCCTCATCGGCGCCGGCACGCGAGGCCGGGATTGGTGACTTCCTAAATTCCGACAGTGAAAAAAATGACTATGACTGGTAACTCTTTCAGCTGTTTCTTTCTAATTATGCCTTTCACTTGCCACCCACTTTCTTCTTCCATATAAGGATTAAAGTCATCAACCGCTATTTTGGTGTCCCAACATGAAATGTGTTTTTCTCTTCAAAGATGTCTGTGTATGTGGAATGCATTTCTTCATTCTATTTGTGAATCTCTAGTCTTACAATTTTAGGTTTTTCCTCATAATTCATCGAAATAATATATTAAGGCTCATACTATATTAGAAAGTTGTGGCTTCTGTTGGACATGCCAAAACATGGGAACTGGTGGGTTTGTTATACTGGGAAAACACTGTTCTTTGATATCCATGAATCCCAAAGTCCATAGATGTCAAATCTTGTTCACAGTTTTTTACCCTCAACTCAAGCTCATTCTGTCATTGTGCTGTATTCTGGTTCGCTAATACTTCTTTCACATTTCTTATGTTCTTGGGTTAGGTGACTATATAACAATTTCAAAGCTTCAAGCTGCATCATACCATACATTGCCTTGTCTATTAAGGTTTTGACCTGCAATGACTAACTGCAATGTTAACCATAACTAAGTTGGAGACTTGTTTATCTGAAGTTTTTCTTTGGGCTTCTTGTCCTCTTTGTATTAGCTCCATGGGTAACATATAGATAGTTTGTTCATAGCAACTCTTACAAGCTTTAATATATTTTCCTAATTTTTAAACCACCAACACCAGATTAGAAAAAAGGGTTGGGGTTTTTATATTTTATGTTCGATCTTTAACCATTCAGAAATCATCTAATAGTATGTTTTATTCTATAGATAAGACTAAATAATTTATATTTTCAATCCCCTGGATGTGGGTTGGCAAAATAGCTCAATCTCAACAGGTGAAATTAAATAAATGGTGAGGAAAATTATATAATGCAAAACTCAAACTTAGTACCTCCTGCTTTGATACAACATCATCAACTTTTTTAGAAGCTTAAACTAACAGATTAGATGGAGTTCTATGATTTATATACTAACAAGGTTAATTACTGAATACTGAGGAGAAGAGTCCAGAGATGGCTAGGATATCAGGAATGAGGATTAGTGTCTGATTGCATAGTTTTATAGATCAACATATGGCTCGTAGCAGTGTTGACTCAAGCTTCTGATACATCGTATGATATCATGATTCTCTTAATATACAGATTTTGATAAACATAATTGCAAATTGTCAGTTAAGTGATGAGAATGTTATACATTGAAGGCATAGCTAACATTAGAGTTGTCTTATGGGTTAATTACTAATTGTCTGCTGGTTATGATACAAAAGGTGTTTTTTCCTTTTCTTTCAGGCTTCTTACACCACCGGGTACTCCACTCTTTCCATCTCTGGATACCGAATCAAAAAGATCCCCTGTAAGTAGCACCGGGACTCCAAAAAATCGTTCTACATTGCAAAAATCCAGGGTGAGCTCTCTAACTGATTTATCTCCTTTAACATTTGCACATAACAATTTGAGTGTATCTTCTAATTTGAATTTGGACACCAAAAGAAACCATGGATTTATTTTGTGCACATTTTAGTGGTATTATTACTTGTGTATAGATACAGTACTCTTTGGTGATGCATGTTGGACACTGTTAACTGTCTATCATCACTTTCTCTTTACTTTTGCGGGGTGTTGAGTATGCTCAACCTTACGGAAAAGAATGGCAGATAAACATATTAGAGCTTGATTGGTATGAATTTTTAGGGTTTTTTTGCTACTATGGCCTTCCAAATCTTATGTTTGTCCAAATACCCCACAAATGTGTGAATTACTTGTATAATGCCTATAAACATTGGTTACCCATCGAATTGGCCCTTCCGGTAAGTCTCTAACACCAAGTTCATAAGGCAATGACTTTTAAGGTATTGAAAAACTAAAATGTTCTCTCTCTCTCTCTCTCTTAATGTTACTTCAGTTCACATTTATTTGAAGTTCCTGCTTGTCTAATAAATTGCTAATTCAATAGGAATCTGCTAGTTATTGTCCCTGAGGAGACATCTTAATGATTACAGTGGATCACGTGGAGTCATGAATAAGATTTAAAATATAAAATAGGAATCTAGTATTCATCACACTTCTCAATTGTAGATGTGCCATGATTCTGATATCATCAATCTGGGGGGTTCCAATTGACTAAAGATCTAAGCCTTGTAACTCTTCTTACCATATAAGACTCATTGATGCTTTTAACCATGTAAATATACTGCTGTGACCCTTATGGTTATTCATCTACTTAAAAGGTTTGAAGCTCTTTGATAATCATCTGTCAATTACTTTATTTTGGCTTCCATTAGATAAACAATTAAGTTGAAAATCTAGCTTTCATTCTTCTATTCCTTTTTTTTCTCAGAAGTCTATAAATTTGACTGACATTCAATTTTTATCAACTTTCGGACATTAAATGCCATGGAAGGGTGTACATTTTGTTAACATATATGGTTATTTTCGTATTTTTGTGATAAGCTCTGCTGCATTTCCTTATTTTTCTGTTGCTTTTCTGCATTTTAATGCTATATTTTAGTTAGCAAATGCTCCAGATCCTTCAAGGAATGCAGCATCAAGGCAGCCAACAACATCATCTGGTCTTAATTCGTCTACTGTGGGAACTCGCAGACCGTCATCATCTGGTGGTCCTACTCATAGTGCATCTAGACCTGTAACTCCAAATGGACGCCCTACATTAACTGCAGCTTCAAAACCTACCAGAGCTTCCACTCCCACTTCACGAAATGCTTTACCTTCAAAGTCATGTGCTCCTCCACCACGATCATCAACACCTGTTAGATATTCTACACAAACATCTAGGTCATCTGTACCTGCAGCGAGCAAGACTGCATCAAGGTCAGCTACTCCTACAAGACGACCTTCTGCCATATCTGCTGTTCCTTCCAGCTCTGCTCCATCAAGTCGATCATCTTCTGTCGCAAGGTCAGGTTCAACAGTATCTAAAGGTTCAACACCATGTGGAAGCTCTTCAGCCATAAAACCTAGATCACTGAAACCCTCATGTACCCCTGGTTCTTCTCATGATGCACCCTCAAACTCACACACATCATTGCCTGAGAGGCCCTCGGCTTCTCGAGGTAGACCTGGAGCACCCAACATTCGATCATCTTCTGTTGAGCCTGGACCAAATGTCCGACCAAGGCGGCAGTCTTGTTCTCCATCCAGAGGGCGTGTTCCAAATGGTAATGTTCATAAAGGCAGTTCTGTTCCACCATCAAGCAGACCACATGCAAATGCCAATGACAACATGAACCCTGTTCTAATTGGAAATAAGATGGTTGAACGGATAGTGAACATGAGAAGACTTGTGCCTCCAAAGCAAGATGACCAACGATCAAGCCATAATAACCTCTCTGGCAAGTCTTCTCTCACACCAGATAGCACTGGCTTTGGGAGGACACTGTCAAAGAAATCGCTGGATATGGCATTGAGGCATATGGTAATATATTATCCTTCATATCTTTTGCTTCCTCAGCTATCAGAAATCCTGCTTTTCCAAGCTTGCTGTCCATGTTCTTCCTGATAAGTGGTCAAAATTTTGAAGTATGATGTATCTTATGATCAGATATATTTGCAAACGCAGGATATAAGGCGGAGTGTTCCCAACAGTTCGAGACCATCCATGACAAATGTTCCAGCTTTATCTGTGTATGTGAGGTCAGGACCCACAAGAAGCAGAACAGTTGGTGTCTCTGACTCTCCTCTTGCCACAAGCAGCACGGCAAGTTCCGAACATAGTGTCAATAACAACACGATCTGTCTTGATGGGAATGAAATCGAAGATGATCTTACTAGTGAGAAAGGAGGCAGGTGCTCGCCTGCTGTTTTCATTGCCAGATGACCACCACATGGAAGAGTTACATTCTTGCTATTGAACACATTAGTTTTCCTATGATTTGTCATCATGGTAAAGGCCTCTTTTCGATGTGACCTGATGATATATTTACTTCATCTTTGATCTTGTTGGTGGTATTTAGGTTTCTAATGTCAAAAATACCAGGCCCTCCTGTATGTGTAGAGGTAATTGCTCAACATTTGGCTTGCAGCTCTTTTGATAAGTTATATTATAGATTTCCAAGCCTACCACATTTCAATGCTCCTTTAGCAGACTTCCAACATTTTAGTGTGTAGAATTGCTACCTTGCACAGCTTTTCTCGTGTATTTTTGGAAGAGCTGGGCAGGGAAGTCTTTGTATTAACTAGGCTTTTCTTCTTGGGGTTTGCATCTATTATCTTTTGGTAGACGATAAAGTAGATGAATTTTTCCAAACTGACCTCGAAGGGGCACTTGGATGGGTTGAGACACATGTTGAATCTTTTCAGAATTTGGATCGTATTGATCAGGTCCGCCAAGTGTGTATCAAACGTTCTATTTTTTACTATAATATTGTCCACATATATCTCTATTTGATCTAGTACTTGAATATTTTGTTCACTATTCTTTGGTATGTCGCTCCTACGATCTTTAACTCGAAAGGTATGATCTCGTAATAGTATATGCCTCGGTTGGTCATGGATGTGTGCTCTCAATCCTAAGGTGTCATCCTGATCTAATTATAGCCCGAGAACGTGTTCATGAAGATAAGGAAGAGGATCAATCCTTGGCATCTACTAGTTGATTGATTTGAGAAAGAGGATAGTTATCTTTCGGATAGACTTTGTTGAGATCGGTATAATTAATACACATTCTCTAATTTTCATTTTCATTGACATTTTTTTGACTAAGACAACATTGGAAAGCCATTGAGGGTACTGGACTTCAGTAATAAATTTCGCCCTCGATAACCTATCGACCTCGTCATTGATTGCTTGTTGCACCCGAGAGTGAACTTGCGAGGCCTTTGCTTCACGAGTCGGACCTTGGGAAAGATATTATGCAACATTTGGATTAATGCCCAGCATGTCCTTTGGCGACCAAGCTAACACCTCGACATTTTTTTTTTTGGGAAATTTGATTAATTGCACACGCTCCTCCTTGTCGAGTGGTGCCCCGATTAGTTATTCCATCGACTCCGGGTGCAAAAGAGGCTTCCTGAAATCCCGAGAGTCCATTGGCGTTGGCTCGGGCTTAGCTTTCTTCGGTAGTGAGACGATCGTCAAGTAGCATTGCTTGGATTCTCATGGGATGCTACTTAGTTTTCTAATGTCAACTTTTGTCAGGAATTTCATTACCAGGTGGTATTTGGATACCATCACATTCAGTTAGTTAAGAGTAAATCGATCGATGATTGCATTGTAGGCCAATGGGATGTTCACCACGATGAATTTGGTCGTCAGCATCTTGGAGTAGGGCTCTTCGCCAAAAGTGAAATGTAGGCTCACAGTCCCAAGCGGGCAGATGGAATCACCCATGAATCTCGTCAGCGAAGATGCCACCGAGGAGAGGTTGTTAGCTGACAATCTGAGCTTTTGAAAGGCATCAAAATAAAGTATGTTGGCAAAGCTACCTGTGTCAATCATAACTCTTTTCACTCGAGTGTTGATCATCCTTACGAAGACCACCAGTGTGTTGTCGTGGTTCGGGTCGTGGTACTCTCTCTCCGTTTCCTTGAAAGTGATCTCAGCACCTCTTTCTTGCCTCGGACATTTCTCTATGATGAATCGAGCGTAAACTTTGCTTCCTACCCCTCGAGGTGGGCCCACCGATGATGACATCGATTTATCTTTTCACTGGGCCTTGTGGGCAAGGCGACGATTCTTGGGGTTTGTGGAGGAACCTCCTAAAGTGCCCTCGATGGATGAGCTCTTCTATCTGGTCCTTTAGATCATAGTATTTTTCAATGTCGTGGTCGTAGTCTCGGTGGAAGCGATAATATTTCAATTTGTCCCTCCTTTCTAAGGGGTCCTCATTGGCAATGGCTTTTTTAGAAATCCCTTTTTCCATTATTTGTATGATGATCTCGATCCTTGCATATTAAGGGGAGTCGACCCAAGCCTCAAGTGAGATACCTCAGGTTAACCATGCTTCCTTCTCAATAAGCCCGAGGTTGGTGCTTGAAGCAGTTCTATGCATGGCCTCTTGTGGGTTTTCTTGCACTTACCTGAGATCATTATTTCTGCATATATGTACTAATTGGTCCTCTTAAGTGTCTCGGGGATTGTTGTCAGTGGTCCTTCCACCAATGACCAGAAGAATCGGAAGGGCCTTAGGCTCATCATAAAGGCTTGTATTACCAAAGAAGGGTGAGCGTCCTAGATGCCTTAGATTTCATCGGTGAACCACGTAACAAAGTTAGAGAGGGGTTTGTCCTCCCTCTGCCTCAGTCTAAGTAGCATTGCTGTGGAGAGCTTTGAGCATACATTCCCAAGGAAGTGAAGCTCAAATTCCTTCACAAGCTGAGCGAAGGATGAAACTAAGAGCCTCTCAATATGGTTGGGAACACTCAGCACATCAGAGCATCTAAGATATCATATTACAACATATGAGCTCAGAAAGCTACAGTGGGTCGGAGTTATCATTAAGGGCCTCCAATTACAAGAGGCAGAAATTCGTCAGGATTGGTTCTTCTTGAATGCTATGGACGAATGGGGAACAACCCAAAGTGCACCTTCCCCCTTTGATTGTTAGAACTCTCAGTGCATCTCGTCTAGGCGCTGATCCATCAATCGCAGTTGGGCTCTCAAAGAGTCATCCATTAAGTCAGCCGATTGGGTTTTCGACTCAGGCAAAGCTGGCCCGTGATGCGAGGGCATGTTCATTTCCACCATCAGGGAGCACAGTGCTCTGGTTAGCATTTTGATCGATCGAGGCAATTTGGGGCTACCAGCAATGGATCAATCGAGGGAACCCTAGTAGGTGCAAGTGCAAGTGGTGGTTGAATCATTGGTCGCAATTGTGAAGGGGAATTGCTTATTGAGCCAGTTGAAGCAAAAATGGGGTGATAGCTTACATCATTCCAATGAGGATCTGCACCTAGTGCGTAAGGCTCAGAAAAGCCTCGACAAAGACAATTAGATGCCCTGTGATAGCCCCCGGAGGCAAGAGCTCGAGGTCGTTGAACAAGCGCTAGTAGCGACGCCTTGCACAAAGATACTATGTGTCAGTGGCGACGCCTCCTCGTTGGAACGCTCATTAAAAGGGTTCACGAGTGGATGCTCTTACGACATTCAAACCCTCCTTCTAACGTCAAAATATTATTACCTAGATATCATCGACTGAGAGTCAACGCGGCTTGGTCTTGACCCAAAGGCACGAGGCCTTCCAAGTAACCCTTGTGGTAGCCTAGTGAGATGATCGCTACAGTGCCGAGGTGGTCTACCACCGACAAGACAAGATTGACCTGAATGCCCTCCATGTCATTGTCTTGGTGACGATGGCGATCAACAGTCAGACCAATTTATTCATCAAAATATTCTCTATCAAGATATTTTCGCTTGTGCGATTGACATATCGAACTCTAGTGTTGTGTTCGTCTACATTGGGAGTTAGTTTCCTTTGGCATCATAAACTTAATCTGACGACGGAAACGCAAGTTGGTCCCGTATACTAAAGATTTAGCGTTTGGTGAACAGTAATCTTATCTCTGAATCCAGATAAAAAAATATAGAGAATTAGTATTCCTTTGGCATCCATGAACTTATCTGATGATGGAAACACAGGTCGGCCCCTTATGCTTAAGATTTAACATTTAATGATCAGTTATCTTTGATCAGTGATCTTATCTCAGAATCTTGATAAAAAAAATATGAAAGTTTATAGTATATCACCAATGTAAAATCATGTCAAATCTTATGAACACACATAGAATGCGAATGCAGACCACACAAAAAATACATACGACCAAAAGATTTGTTAACAAGGAAACGATATCTACAGACGGATGTCAAAAAAAGACCCAAAGGAAACACAAAATGATCACCAAACATTTGCGACGAGCGACATATGAGTATTCACTTGATAACCCCTTGAAAAAGAGTCGAGTAACACAATTTCATTTCAGTCATTTTCATCTCAGTGAGATTGCTAGGGAAATCAAGTTCATAACGGATTTCCAATTGACAAAGCCAAGATTAAAAAGGACAGCGAGGAGGAGAGAAAGTGGGCAAGTCATTCTACAACCAAATTCATGGCCAAAAAACAAAAAATCAAAATCCATGTTCACAATGGTGTCGGTTACGTATACATGATTGTGTACTCTTCCCCGAGTTTTCTATCCCAAAACCACAAAAATGAATAAAAATTATGAGTACAAATCCATCTATAATCAAAATCTAATGCAAAGTATCCAAACTACAGCAGTGATTTTTCTTGGTAGGCTTTACCTACTACAACTGGATGAAAACTCATATAGTTATCTAATGGCCAAACCTGCATTGCACAAAACTTATCAAATTTGTAGGCGAACATCAAACCATGTTTCAATTGGAGATTCTTCAATATTCTAAACGGAGGCATTGAAATCTAAGTTTACTAAAAGGTAAATTTAAAGAAGGGGAAATAAGTTGAGTTGCTCAGCGCTGAAAAGATAGCAAAGAGATGAATTCATGAGACAAGGATACTTCATGCCTCACTATATTCAGCACAAGAGCTTTACCTAGAAAATGAGAATTGCAGCCCTCCTACAGGATAAAGACAGCCATTAAAAGTTAAATCAAATCCAGCAAGAAACCAATAGATTAAATGGTAAGGAGGATATAGAGAACCTAAGTGCTTAATTAATTAAAACAAGTATGCATGAATCATGGGGATTCAAAGAACTACAACGGGCATGAGAGACAGTTATTACCACACAATCTGAAGAATCACTGTCTGTATTCGAAAGAAGTCAAAATAATATTAAGCTTCTTTGAAACCCACTTACACATTATCCATGTCAGAACAAAAAGTATGCTCTAAATCTATTTTATCAACTAAAAGAGAAGTACTAACTATAAGTTACAGATTCTATCTCCAGAAATTCGCCAAAGGTATGTCCAACACAGAGCCAACAACTATCGTCTAACAAGAAAGAAATAATTTGAAACTAAAGACAGAAGAATATATAAGACAGTAAAAAGAGGCCTAAGAGGCTAATTTTGCCTAGTCATAGTCCTTGTCTAACAAGACATAGTAGCAAAAGAACTACAGTTACAATAACAATGAGCTGGAATTCCAAATACAGTAGCAAGAAGTTAAATTTAACAACGGCTTTGATATTGCCAACGGAATATCCGCAGATGGGTACAATTAAGGAAAGATTTTTGCAAAGCTTTAGCAAACTATAGAAGAAACATTATGAAAGAGAAAGGAGAAGAAAAGACACTAATTCGCAAGTCACCACTAGAGGAGAAGACAAGAGCCATCAATAAATTTCCAGACTTGGTAGATAAAATCCATATGGGGCAAGAGATTTGTTAGCCAAAAGAGTTGTAATAAAGATTAAAAGAGTCATAATACAAGATGGTCCTCACAAGATTTCTGTACTTAATAGTTCTCAAAGAACAAGTCAGACAATTGATAGATTCACTGATTAAAAATTGAGACAACCACTTTAAGGACGAGCTTCTTTACCAAAACAAGAAAATAACAAATCTCTGACAAGTTGTACCTGAGAAAAGAACAGATCAGCAAGGAGTACTCCAGCAAACAAGTAGCATGGTTTATTATTGCAACCAAATGTCATCATTTAAACACCCAATTTAATATCAACTAATCAGGGGTTTGATCCCCAGCAGGGCCAGGTTTGCATCATTAATCCCTTATTTCTTTGGAGTATATGCCTATGCATATGGTTAAGGGAAAAAAAGTTGGAAGACATGATGAATTAAATACAAATGAAACTAATATAATTAAAATCAAAGAAAGAAAAGGATGACATGAAAAACATGATGCTTGAACAGATATATCAACTATCCTATGATCAATGATCCTATCATCTCATTCAAAAAAAAAAGCGATATATGGAATTGCAAAAGCATATAAATCGACAATCACACAGAACAATAAAGTAAGAAAGACAATTATAATTGCTAGAGAACATAGGGAACAGTGTAAAACGGATAGTTCTACACAAAGATAAGGTAGATCCACAGCGAGGCAGGGAAGGCCACCACGATAGATACAGGATCTTATAACCGTAGCAAGCTGGCCAAGATCCAATCAGAGAAGAAATCACACAAGTTTATCCACAGCATAATAAAGAATTAGAAACCCTAGATTTTGATATTTTAGAAGGGAGATGGCCTAATAGGCGCACCTATTCATCGATCATCACCATCATCATCTTTTCTCTTCATCGTTGGAGGGTTTCTAATCACTGGAGGAGGAGGGTTTGGCGGATCGCTTGGTGCTGTCGTAGTCGACGACCTCGGCATCAGCGAGGGACCGGGAGTGCTGGACGATGGAGCGGCCGATGGAATTGATCCACTCCTCCTTCTCCTTCTCGGAATCAGCGATGAAGTACATGGTCTCGCCCCGGGTGGAGATTTCGAAGGCGAAGGCGCGATTGAGGACGTCCTCGGCGCCCTTGACGGTGAGACAGGAGGCGACGGGGATGACGCCACGGGGAGTGGACGCGCGGGTGACAGTGGAGTCCTTGAACCAGAAGAGCTTCCCCTGCTTCAGCACGAACCACCGGCGGCGCCACGTCTTGATGTACTCCCCCTGCTTCGTCAGCCACCCCGTCCGCTCCGGGCTCGACCAGAACGCCACGCGCTCCTCCTCCTCCTCCATCGGGGCAGCCGATCCTCCGAATACCGATCGCCACAGGCTGGCCGCCATCGACTTGTTCCTTCTCTATATGGCGTCTTCTTCTCTTCCGATGCCTCTCTGCTGGGCGGGCCGCGGCGTGCGCGTTCCTCGTCGTCTCCGGTTATGTAGCTGGAATTATGCCGTTTCTAGGGCTTCTCGATTCTGCTCCGCCTTCGTGCCCTTTCTCTGTCGAGCAACTCGATTGCGATGGGCTTATTAAAGGAGGGAGGTGAATGGACATCTCAATTTGCACCGCCTCTGGCTGCGGTGCGGTCCGATTCGTATGGGCCTATTAAGGGAGACCGGTAGTTGGACATATCTCAATTTGATCCGCCTCGGCTTGCGGTGCGGTCGAGCCGCGATGCTCGACAATTTATTAGGGTCCCAATCATCATATGATTTAAATCGAATTCGAATCAAGCTCAAGTTCACAATAGCCAAATTATTTTGACGGTCAACAGGAAAGCAGAGAGAGAGAGAGAGAGAGAGCAGCAGCAGCAGCACGAATGAGAGTAATTCCTATTTCAGAAAACAAACTCATTATGCAACTCCTTAGAACGTTTGGCATAAGACACATTACATCCAAAGGACACCAAGAAATCCTGTATACAGAGAAATGGTGCGTACAGTCGAATCACATATCTAATTTTCCTGGCAACATTCACATGTGAGAGGGCTTCACATCCCATCCACTGGGCCGCTTCCTTGCACGTTGCGGGCGTTCACCTTCGACGGCCCTCTCCTGTGGTACGTCTTCGTCTTCGTCTTCGCTTATCCAGCCGTAACAGGGAGTCCTTCTTGGTCTTGGAGTTTGATGAGAACCTGAGCCTGACTCCAACTGCCGTGGGTCACACTCTCGGACTGCCAAAGCTGACTGGCCCTCGCCACTCACGCTCTGCTTCCTGCTGCAGTCGAGGTCTGTACATATGAAATGTCCTTCCAGTTTTACGGATTGCATATATGCAAAGCAATTGTAGTCAACATGGTCAGACTGTATGCGAAAACAAAATTACACTAAAATTTAGAACAAAAACTATCAACATACCTAATGAAGAATTAAGTAAGTTAGCCTCGGCAACTAGGCTAGGACCTTCTGAGGCCTTGGCTTCTTCATTAGCTCTTTGCTCCTGAAGCATTCGTCATGGATAATTGTGGTCAAGAATAAAATTATAGAGCAACTGAGATTCAACACACAGGAACTAATACAAATTGCATACTTAGGCAACCACTACATGTTACCATTTGCCATAACATAATTAGGCCACAATGAATGCATCTGCCGAAGACAAATAAACTGCATACGGTAGCAGTTTGAATACACAAAAACCAATCTGGCACAAGGCAATGCTTCGAAGACAAACAAACTCAAAATGGTACCAAAAAAAAGCAACCTTTCCAGTTGTAAACAGATATCACTCTCAGATGATCATAATCAACTGAACTTTTGTGAACATGTACGATATAAAGGCTTAATATATTTAACATCGATGTTTATGTTTACAACTTGATGAAGGAAACATACTGCATGAGTTCTATCGCAAAGAAATAAATATCTTCTTTTGAAAATTTAAAATATCTGCTGAACCCACCTTCAACGATAAATTGGATAGGGTTAACAGGCCAATGTTTTCCTTGTAGCAATCAATCAGAATTCATTTCCAAATCTTGCATATCAGTTTTATTATACAAACGCAAATGACCACATAGTTTTTTTGTTGGAACTCTTGCAGATCAAATCGTAACCTAATTGAATAACTTGAATAGATGAAATTTAAAGATCAGACTTTAGTTGGAGGAATTTCTTTTGACTGTTGATTGAAGATACCAAGGTGAAATGAACCTGTGATATTAAGCATGTGATGAAGTAGGTATTGATTCTTTAAAGGTGATTTGTTCATGAAGATACAAGAAACAGATTCCACTACACTACATAAGTGACACTGCAGGCCGTTACTAGCAACTAACTATAACACACATGTTGCACATACCCATTATATTTGCCACTCATAGTTCAGTACAGTATGTCATGTGCTGGAACAAATAAGATTGCTAATATAGGTAGTACAACAATCGACTAGCATAACGCAGAGCATGATAAAAAACCACGACAAGAGAGATGCATGAAAATGCCAGAGGTCAAAGGAAGTACCTCTCTCGCCTTTTCTTCTTGCTCTTCCAGGATGGTCTCAATGACCAGCCTGTAAGTATCTTCTTCGATAATGTGCCAAGCAGCAGCATCATCATAAACCTAACAGTTTCCAAGCACAGTAGCTGTAATACACTTTAAAATACTAATAAGAGAGTGAATAGAAAATGAACAGAGAAGAGGGATCGTACCTTCAGAAGTTTTTTGACAGTCGAGCAGATTGTTTCCTTGGAGAAACCATAAGGGAGCAGTGCATCAATCGCAGCATCTATCCGCATCATCCCCACCTGAATCATTCAGGTAATAATGTAATCGAGCAGAAAACGAAATCAGTGCCCCAACAACAGCAGAACTGATGATGGATAATGGAGTACCTTCTTCTGCCTTCTTGGAGCCATGTGCAACTGGACCCAATGGAGAGTTCTTAATTGACCCCTCCAACTCCACCACCAGCTTCTTCACCTCTATTTCTCTTTCTAAGACAACACTACCTCTGTTTCTCTTTCTAGCAGAATGAAACACCAACTACCACCTGTAAGATTAAACTATCATGTGGAATACAATTAAGTCAAGATTGAAATCTAAATTACGTTACATAGATCGGGAATAGGATGTGTACCTTTCTATATCATTATCCATACCATAGATCTATATCGAAAAAAGCTAGGCTCTTCTCCTCTTTGCTTGCTTTCCATGAGACCACTATAATTGAGGACAAACCAATCAGGGAGGTGAGAGAAGAGATCTCAAATGTGATTATATGATCATCAGATCCCCAGGAGGTTCTGTCATTATATAGACGAGAATACAGGTTTTAGGAAAAGATAATTAACAGAGTCCCTCACATCAAGATACTCTCCCAAGTATTTCTTAAGATATGGGCTTCCCTTTTAATGGCCAATAACCTTAATCAAAATCCATTTAGATCTTTAATATATTTTATCCCAAGTTAATTGAGCCACAAAACCTAACATTCTACCACTTGACTTATTAACTGATTAACATATAAAACAAAGGGTTCAAAGTTACGATATAGATTCTAAAATTTTGAAAAATATTTTTTCCGTGATTACAAATTTTCGAAAATAAGTCAATAAGTCCAATAATTATAATAATACTATATTAGGGTCAACTATCAATATGAGTCACAATGCTTGTATTTCATTAATATCATATTTCCTTCTATATATCACAGTACGATTAGTCTTTCCTAATATAGTCTATAATAACCTATATTATTTTATCTTGTTAAAACAATCTCATTATCATATTCAACAATAATATGTACATACATAAATATAAACATGATAGCAAAAATAAATAGCCTCAATTACATAAGCAGCAAATATTAATTACAATGTCTACTTAAACATGCATCACCATACCTTTACTAGATTGCTCACAAACCTTATTCTAAGAACATTTATTAAACACCTTAGGTTATAAGGCCTTGGTGAATGAATCAACAATCGTTAAAGTACTTTATCTCGGTATGCATAGAATTGCTAAGTTACTTGTTATTCTTAGAGAAAAAACTGTTATTATATTATCACAAAATATCTTCAGCGATTTTACAATTGAGTCAATCATGCTAAGTCCTAAGATGAAATTCCGCAACCACAAAACTTAATTAATAGCTTTAAAGCATTCTACAAATTCAGTTTTCATTGTCGATAATACAATAATAGATTGTTTTATACTTTTTTAATGAATTACCCCTCTAGCTAACATATATCTTTTTTTTTGTAGCCTTCCAACATTTCATTCTTCGATAATTCTACTATCTACCTAATAGTACTCTTAAAGAAAAAATTAAACTATGTCTCTAACCACCAAGTACTTTATCTCGATATACATAGAACCGCTAAGTTACTTGTCATTCGTAAAGAAAAAACTGCTAGTATATTATTACAAAATATTTTCAGAGGCTTAGCAATTAAGTCAATCATACCAAGTCTTGAGATAAAATTCCGCAGTCACAAAACTTGATTATTAATCTCAAACCATTTCACAAATTCAGTTTCCATTGTCGATAATGCAATAATAAATTACTTTATACTTTTCTAATGAATTACCCTCTAGCTAACATATATCTCTTTTTTTTTCAGTCTTCTAACATTTTATTCCTGGATAATTCTAATATCTACCTAGCAGTCCAATTACAAAGCTAATATCTGATCTAGTAAAGGCTTGAGTATATAATAAATTTTCAACTGTTCACGTATAAGGATTTTTTATTTTTTTTCAAGTTATTTTTAGAACAATAGCTTTGACTAAAATTTACACCTTTGGTTTAGGTATATCATTTACTGAACAAGGTTGCATAGTAAATCTCTTCAAGACTCGATCAATATATCTTTTTCTGAGATAATCCTAACAATCCTTGATATCCACTCTAGGTACATTTATGCCAATAATATGAATTGTTTCATTCATCTCAACTATCTTAAGGTTTCTAGTGAGAAATTTCTTAGTTTCATACAATAAACCAAAATCACTACTAGTGACGAAATATCATCAACATACAATACAAATATAATAAACTTGATCCCACTAACCTTTAGATATATACAATGATCAACAATATTTTCTCTAAATCTGAAATAAATAATGATATAATAAAATTTTATATATCACTGTATAGAAGCTTATTTAAGACTATAAATATATTTTTTAAGTTTGCAAGTCAAATGTTCTTTTCCCTTCTCTACGAATCCTTCAAGTTGTTCTTTATAAATTTTTTCATCTAAACATCTCATTCAGAAAAGTTATTTTCATATCTATCTATTGTAATTGAGAAAAATCTTTGACCACAAATCTGGTTTTGTATCGTTCAATATTGCCTTTTGAGTTATGTTTAATCTTAAAGACCCAACATCTGATTCTTTTATCATTATTAGGCAATTCGATGAGTTCATATACACCATTCTCGTTCATTGATTCTGACTCTTCTTTCATGTCATTAAACCATTCTTAGAATTGTTACTTTCCATAGTTTGTTAAAACGATAATGGATCCTTCTGATTCATATATCATAATATAATTTATGTAGATATATAACATAATTATCAGAAATAAAACATATTCTTTCCATGTGAGATCTTCTCGAAACTATCGATTGTGGTTAATTGACAAATTCATTAACAATATCAATACAATATGCGAGTTCATCAATATTATTTTATTATTCACCTTCATCAAATTATTCAATGATTTGAGGAACAACTTCTCGAATAGGAAATAATAAAGGAGCATCAACTTGTATCACCTTAATATCAAGATTAAATTTTCAAAAATTTTCACTCTCACTGAATTCATCATTTTCTAGAAATCTTTTATTAGCATATTAAACTATTCTCATCTATGATTATGACAATAAATCGATACCAGGCCTGATTCATTATATCTATCATAAAATTCATCATCCTCATTGGATTAGACAATTATATCTAATTGTCTCTTAACTTCATTTATGTACACTTCATGAATGTTAACAATATATGACCTTTCATTTATTAGATATATATATTCATATCTCGACGGATCATCTATAAAGATAATAAAATACTTTTCTCCACAACATAGGGAACACAAAGTGGTTCGTAGATATAAGTATATAAAATCTCAATGAGTTTATTAATGAATCTACGTTTTATTCTAACATTTAATTGCAAGGTCATTAATGTCCTTACAAACTCAAGATTCAAATTAATTCTATACAAACCACTATATAGAATTTTAAAATTATTTTTTCTTAAATCATAAATATTTTGAGTTTATCATAACAAAAAGAAAAATAATATTTTAACCCATAAATTCTACATGAAGAAACTAAATTTCTCAAATTATAGAAAAATAGCATACATCCTCAAGATTCATCAGATGAATCGTCTCTAGAAGTAGGCGATAAGTGATCACTACTATGGTTTTTGTCTTAAGACAATTCCTTGTAACTACAAATCTTTCATGCTTTTTTGGTTTCCGAGTTAAGTAGAATCTTTCCAAATTATTGGTGATATAAGTTGAAACACTAGAGTCAATCTACTAAATAATATAAAAGACTTTTGTAATATTTGATTCAAAACATAGAAATATAAAGTTTATATATTTCTTTTCAAGCCAAAACTTATAGTCCTTCACATATTCTTTCTTGCCATAGAAGTGGCAATTTATTATGAATGCTTTCCTTTTCATGAGTTGGTATATTATTTTCAAACTCAGATGATTTACTTCGTGGATTATGTTTTAACTTTCTTTTCTTGTTACTCACTCATTGAGTAATAGTTAGAACTTTATGATATCATTTCTACTTAAATCCTTATTCTTCCTAAATACATATACTAGTCAGCTCATTTCAATTTTACTCATTCTTATTTTACTCATTCTTATTTGTGTTGTAGTGAATCTTAAATGGACCAAACTAACAAAAAAGAGAATTAAAAAATAAATTATCCTACAAATGATTCATTTATATTCATACCCAAAATTTTGAGCTTTACATGCAATAATAAAGTTCATATGTTATCGACAATTGTCATCCCTATAAATATAAGACAATCTATTAGATCTTTGAATATCATTATTGAATCGAATTGAAATCCATTTCATCATCTAGAATACAATTAAGCCATGATTGAAATTTAAATTACCATAAATTGAGAATAGGATGTGTACCTTTTTATGCCATTATCAAATCAGATACCTCGATCGTTGTAAAGCTCTACACAATAGATCTGCACAAGAAGAAGCTAGGCCTTTCTCTTCTCTTTTTACTTTTCATAAGACCACTATGATCGATGGAGTAGAAACCAATCAGAGAGGTGGTAGAAGAGATCTCCGATGTGATTATGTGATCATCAAATTCTTAGAAGGTCCTATCATTATATAGACAAAAACAAAAGGTCTAAGAAAAGATAATTATGAGATTCACTCTAATAAAAGTTATCTCCTAAGATTTTCTTAGATATGAACTTTATTTTCATTGGTCGATAACTTTAATCAGAACCCAATTAAATCTTTAATACATCTTATTCTCTGCAGTTGAGTCACAGCAATGCTCAATAGCTTAGGGTAGTTATTGATTAATATAGTTTCAAAAAACTTCCCGACAGATGGACAAAAAGGTTAACAGGTTCACTATGATATGCCCCGAAAGTGATTGGTAATTAATAAAAAATGCATGGTATGGACCACTGCAATGGAGTGTACCAAATACTCAGTAAACAGAGGAATTAGTAGGATAGATAGGAATGCATTATGATGTTACGTCTACCAAGATAAAATTTCTTGTGCTACGGTTTTCTTGCACAAACAGTGGAGCATACAATCATGCACCTCACAATGCATTAGAAATCAGCAGAACAGTATCAGAAGTTGCAAAACAGGTATCAGTCACATAAACTAGGCACATATTTACCAAATTCAAACAACAACACAGGGAGCTAATCATCTAGATTCAGTAGATCAGGAACAACATAAATGTGTATGGTTCAATCAACCTATAATCATTAGCACATGTGAGATACTAAAAGAAATTGTACGAGATATTTTTGACAAAGAACGAAGTTTCAGATTGCCAATATCAAATTTTTAGATTCATGAATAAAGTAAATTCAGTCTAAAGCAAACTAATCCATCAGAGAGTGAGAGAAAAACACTGACGACAAGCTTAGCGCATTTTTATGGAGAAGCGACAAAAGAAATGAGAGACAGCGAACAAAAAGATAGGGGTGAGTGAAGCTGTTCGGGGGTGCAGGCAATGCCCTAACCCGACCGGCTAAATGTAGAGAATGGGAACTCATTCCGCAAGACGAGTGGGGGTTTTGGTTTATCTCTGTTGCTTCATTTCATCGAGAAATGGAAGAATCAAACCCGACGCCTTCCGCCCAAATGATGATGCAAAGCCAACTCAAGGAAAACCTATTCCTAGAAACCCACACGATCTATTTACTCCGTCATGAACCAAAGAAGAAAAGAGAAGAGATAGCCGAAGTGACCGACCGCCGCACGCTTAGTAAAAGCTCCTGCGAGAACCGAAACGAAAACGTCGATGAGTCGCAGTACCTGAAGACTGCAAGGTATTGGGAGCTACGGAGGGATCGGCTCCCGGCGGCGGAGTATCGGGAAGGAACAAACAAGAACCCTAAAAAAGATAGCTATGGTTTTACGGATCGAACGAGGAGGAGGCGGAGGACTCCTGCTCCGCGTTGAACAGGGAGTGGACACGGGGAAACGCTAAATGGGCGGTCGTCGGAGATGAAGAAGCCACACTGGGAGGCGCGAGAAAGAGCGATAAAACATAATGTGCGCATATATAGCACGCTAACGCCATTTAGGGGACGAATCCTGTGCCTCAGCTACGGCAGGAGACACAGGTAGTAGCCACCCGCGTTCCTCGCCAACGCCGTCACATTACGCCACCTCATCAGTTTTCATAGGGACCGAGCGCTTAGCGCCATTATAGAACCAGGGCACTTGGTAAGGGCTAATCTTGGCTGTGGGGGCCGACGCGGCGACCAAATAATACAACAGAGGTATCGTGTTTCCTCGCTGGACCAGTTCATGGTGTACCTGATACACTCATAAAGGATTTGTCGTTGCCTCTCACGAATCCGGAAGGCGACGAGACCCGGAAGGCTGCCCAAAAATGGCCACACCTTGGGGCCGTTCAGCCGCCGCGTGAGCGCCCAGAACCACGTCAGGTAGGTCGACACCGCCAAAGCCACCGCGAGCGCCGCCAGCAGCAAGCGGAGGCTATCACCTTCTACTTGCCGCTGCTGCTGCTGTTGGATCGCTTGGATAAGTCCTGCCATTGCCAAATGCCTTGTGGTTGTAATCGGATGGTGCTATATCAAGCACTGTCCGATGAAGATGGGAGCAATGTTCTCAGTGCTCGTGATACTTATATAGTCTCAACCAGCGCTGCGACGACAGAGGGAGTAATATAGGGTTGTTGGGAAAGAAAACGAAGTAGAGCTTCTCTCACAAGACATTTCTTGCAGCGGCACCAGACTTCATAGGTCATACCAACCATGGAAGCAAGTCTCTGGACGAATTGTTAGACTGAGCAGGACACTGTAGCCTTATAGAGTTGACAAGAAGTGAAGTATCCCTCTGGTACACGATTTATTTGCACGGGGAACACTCAGACGACACCCTTTTCCTTTAAAAGACGGCTTTGAAAGAAAGAGTGCGCTTTGGTTGATCCGTCCAACCAAATCAAATCCGTGGGCCTGGAGAAAGGGGTGGTGAACCAAATCAAGGTTCTGGAGAATCCATGAGCGAAAGGGTTGAGTATGAATGAGACAACCCAATCGTTTCACTTTTGGTCTCAGCGGAATCGTATGAACTTAGAGCACGCAATTCGTTGGTAGATTTATATGAACTCTGCTAAGGGAAACATATGGAAGAATGTGCCATATGGAAGCATGGATGAAGTATCAAAAAATCACACACCACGAAAATACGGCTACAAAACGGTTCAAATGCGTCCGATAATGTCGCTTGAAGAATATGAATCACACGATTTCGCCGTTGCACACGGTTAGTGTAAACAACTTCGAGCCATGGCCTCGGGCTGTCATGGCTTAGTTCGGATCCGGATGATAGGGGATCACCCTGAGAAGTTTCTCGAGACTATTGAGGCGACCGATTGCGTGGGTCTGATCGGAACGGGGTAGCCGTTTCCACCGGGGGAGGACTCCTCACCTGGGCGTTTAGTGGATGACTTCCGATGATCACCTGCACAAAGGTCGGGTCGGGGAGCTCAACCCGACCCCTTTAACGATCAAGTTAGTGGATGGTCACAGGGGGTTTCTTTCGCTCGGTTCTCCCCTTTCCCTCTCATGCGCGAGAGTTTTTATAGTGAGAATTATCATTGTATGATGTGCCTGCCCGTAGGGAGCAGGATCGTACTTTTGGTAGCGTTTGATATTGTCGTTGGCGTGGCGTGGGGGGATCGAGTCTGAGCAGGGTGTTAATGTACCTCAGCAGGCGTTTCGGTCCGTGTTGACCGGGTGATTCATCAAGTTGATAGAGGCGTGATGCGTCACCCTGGTGCAGTTGACGTCACGTGAGTCTTATCGCAATTATTACCCTCATCATATTCCCCCGCGGAAGGAAGCTATGCGTCGGTTGCTGTAATGGGAGTCCGATGCATGGCTTCGGCTTTGAGAAACTGTTCCTGCCGGGCGTTTGCCGGTCCGTCGTCAAGGGTGTGGGGATCGTGGAGCTTAATAATCAAGGAGGGTTGCGTGCGCAGCGGTGACCCCGGGTTGGTGTGCGGCCGAGGAGCGCAACTCAATCGATCAGGTTGAGCAGAGTCTACGGTTTCGAGCGACAGGTAACCGAGGGGCATGACTTAGGCGGGCGGGCTGCGTAGTGGCGGTGGTCTCGAGGAGCATGGAACCGAGGAGCACGACGCAGGCGGGGAGGCCGCACAAGTGTGGTCTCAGGTCTTGGGCAGCATGGAGCCGAGGAGCACGACGCAAGCGGGCAGGCCGCACATGTGTGGTCTCGGGCAGCATGGAGCCGAGGATCACGACGAAGGCGGGCATGTCGCACAGGTGTGGTCTCGGGCAGCATGGAGCCGAGGAGCACGACGCAGGCGGGCAAGCCGCGCAGGTGTGGTCTCAAGCAGCATGGAGCCGAGGAGCATGACGCAGGCGGGCAGGCCGTGAAGGTATGATCTCAAGCAACATGCGGCCGAGGAGCACGATGCAGGTGTGGTCTCGGGCAACATGCGGTCGAGGAGCACGGCAAAGGTGGGCAGGCCGCTGATAAGACCCTAAAGTCTTATCGTGGAAGAAAGAGGAGAAATGGGGATGATAATGATCTCTTCGAGGGGATCGGCCCTCCTTGATCTCTTCGAGGGGATCGGCCCTCCTTGATCTCTTCGAGGAGATCGGCCTCCTAGGGTTTGTCCAAAGACAGAATAGTATTTTTCATAGCTTTCTGAAAAGAAGCAGTTACATCCCTATTTATAGAGTTACACCCAGAGTCCATCAGGACTTGAACTCTAATAATAAATAAATATTAAATAAACCTCTACTTGACTCTAATTGAACCAAATCGACTCAATAAACAACTGGACTAAACAGACTCAATAAACATTATTCAAAAGCTCAGAAAAATGGTCCTAACAGTTCCTCCCTCTTCAAATCAGCCTTGTCCTCAAGGCTGAGTAGCATC